CGGCGCGCGGCGGGGAGGGGCGCTAGGCAGCCAGCCTTCCCCGTGCCCTGCCTCCCTCCCTGTGGGCCCTGAGCGCCGGGAGAACGCGCCTGGGCCTCCACGCCGTCGTCTGGACACCTTCAACCAGTGACCCCTACCGTCTCCGACTCCGAAAGGAAGTTGAAAGCTGAAAAGACTTGGTACATCCCAATTAAAGGAACAGGCAACCCCTGTGGGCCGACAGAAACAGGGGGGTGTGGCGAGCGGCCGCAGGTCCCAGCCGCGGGCAGCAGGGGGCGCCAGCGACAGGAGCGCGGGGGGTGGGGCCCTGTCAGTGGGCGGGGCCCGGTCCGGGGGCGGGGCCTGGACAAGAAGTTCTATGCCCGCTTCGCAGCCGAGGGGGATTTTGATAAGCGCTTGGAAGGAACTGCCTAACAAGTGCTGTAAGTGTCGTGTGCCGACAGCTCAGATGATGTGAAAGCGAAAGCACTGTATTTATCAACAGTATTACTATTTTTAAAGTGCAGAGTTTGTTTTTTTTTAATGTTCGTTCTCTTTGGGGTGTAGGTCTGACAGAAGAGAGCATCAGTTTTACGCTCAACAATGCATGCACATTTTGCTTCATCTTATTCGTTGACGATATGATTCAACAACCACAGTAGATAAGAACCCTGGTAGCCTAGTGGAACTGGGCAGCTAACTCCAGGGTCAGCACTTCAAATCCCATAGTCATGCAGTGGGAGTGAGATGCGGCTTTTTGCTGCTGAGAAAGTTGACAGCGTCGGGAACCCAAAGGGACAGTTCTGCTCTGCCCTCATGGGACTCTGCGCTGGAATCCACTGGCTGCAGAGGGTTTGATTCTGCCTCTAGATCCATGGTCTTCTCCTCAAAAACATAAAAATCTGTGTACAGCTTTGTTTAAAATAGCAATAAGCTCAGTTTCCCAAACCCAAATATTGAGGAAATGGCATTGTTTTGTATTTCATGAAGTTGGGAGGGAGGCTCATTAACAGCTCTCACGAGGCAGAGAACACACACTTGTTGGCTGAAAGTGGGGAGGACTGGAAGCACTTGCTGACGAAGATCAAGGACTGCAGCCCTCAGCCGGGATTACAACTCAATGTCAAGGCACCAAAATCCTCACAACTAGACCAATTCGTGGCATCATGATAAATGGAGAAAGAGTTGAAGTTGTCAAGGATCTTGTCTTGCGTGGATCCACAATCAATGCTCCTGGAAGCAGCAGTCAAGAGCTCAAACGACACATTGCATCGGGTAAATCTTTAATGTGTTGAAAAGGAAGGAGGTTACTTTGAGGACTAAGGTGCACCTGACCCATGCCATGTGTTCTCAATCGCCTCATATGCGTGTGAAAGTTGGACACAGAATAAGGAAGACTGAATAAGAATCAATGCACTTGGTCTATGATGCTGATGAAGAATTTGCAAGTACCATAGCCTGCCAAGAGAACAAACAAATTTATCTCAGAGGGGTACAACCAGATGTCTCCTCAGAAGCAAGGATGGCAAGACTTCATCTCATGTCCTTTGACATGGGATCAGCAGAGACCAGTCCCTGGAAAAGGACATCATGTTTGGTAAAGTAGAGGGGTGGCAAGAAGACCCTCAAGGAGATAGGCTGACACAGTGGCTGCAACAATGGGCTCAGACTTAGCAGTGGTTGTGAGGACGGTGCAGGACCAGCCAGTGTTTTATTCTGTTGTCCACTGGGTTGCAATGAGTGGGAGCCAGGCCTCTCAAATGTCCCACTTTTGAGAGGGGGCTCACTAGCATCCTCTACTCAGAATCCCACTGGAGGGAGATACCAAGCTGAGAAAAGGAGAGGGTCCTCAAGAAAGAGGAAGACCCTCAAGGAGATGGATTGACATGGTGGACGCAGCAATGAGCCTATACTGGTGAGGATGGAGCAGACCCAGGCAGGGTTTCATTCCATTCTCTCTGGGAGTTGTCCTAAGTCAGAACTGATTCCACTCAACAATAACAACAACAACATCTTTTTAGCTTTGGCTTTTCCTTCTCCTGCAGGGTTCTGCCTTACACCAATTCCTGCTTTTATAGGTCTTACTGCCTAAGAAGAAAGCGGGTGCTCACTCACTTGTGTCCCTATAAGAAGTGCACCCCTGTAGGTCCTCTGCAAAAGACACAGGGACCCCAGGAACCTTAGCTCACATGGAGAGCTGCTGCTCTAGGTGGGTCTCCTTCCAAAGTCCCCGCTCCCTGCTCCGTTCAATGGAGGCACAGGGACCTTATAGAGGCTCTCCTTGTCCTACTGCCTGGCATTGCCTGTTCTCCAAGCAGACCCCTCCACACGCCTTCCCAGCATGCAGCGCACATGTGCTCGGGGGCTTTGGTCCAGGTTGAGCTGTGGCCCTGATGGAGCGGGGTAGAGGAGGCTCCATCACCGGCACCATTGGAGCCATATGTCAACATTGCAGAAACAGTGTGAGGAGGCAGCACCAAAGCACAGCACCACTCCAAATAGTGCCTCGTGCTGACACAGAGAAGACCAAAAGGGTGTTGGGTTAGGCAGGGTTCTCTAGAGAAACAAAGCCAGGATGCTGATGAGAGGTTTATACAGCAAGAAGGAATATAACAGCTAATTAGTCCACACAGCAGCACAGAGGGTTCAGTTCAACTCGCTTTCGTGGAACAGTTAATGTACTGAAGGTCCTTCAGCTCACATGTGCTCCTGGTCCAAGGTCAAGGAAGCAGACAGCAGAGTCTTCCCTGGGGCAAGACAGGCAGAGTCTCCCCACAGGCAGCAGGTAGCAGGGTGGAGCAGTGGCGCTGGAGCATAGCAGAGCAGCCCTCAGTAGGATCTCAAACTCTAGTGATGTGTTCATGGCGGCGACAAGATCCACCAGCAGCACGGCAAGGCACCACATCCACAGGTTGGCTTGGCCCACAGGTAGTGCAGCACATGATTGAGGCAAAGAACTAGCTCAAGCAGCAGCATGCTGGTCCAATCACCAGGGAGAAAGACAGAAGGAAACCAGCCCTGGAAAGTCATTTATCTCCTCACCTTCCAAACGAGCTGTGTCCTGATCATACTCCACCCAAATGTTCCTACAGAGGCCTCGTTGGCACAAAACCTAACTATCATGGTTGGCAGGCACTGGGATTCTGAAGGTGGCTGCTCAGCTATGGCAGGGGGGATTGGATGCAGTTAGTCATGAGAGCAAAGGAAAGGATGCCCCCAGGCAGAGGAGTAGTGGCAAGGCCACCACGGGAGCGCCCGCCCGGGGTGTAATAGGAGGCTAAGAGCAGATGGAACCAAGAGGGGTTAGTGTGACACATAACTTGTCTGACACAGACTGTGGTAATTGGATGTTTTCATGTCAACTTGAAAACGTATGAAAGTGTAAGGGTGGAGACCAACCTGCTAGCCTGTCAATCAGGTCACAGTCTGATGATCCCTCCTTGTGGGCATGGCCTTCTCATGAGGATTCTGGGAACTTCCTCTCTCTTGATTCTGCCATCAGAAGTGGGGGCCTAGTTTCTCTCTCTCTCTCTCTGCTTCACCTTCCTGTTGACAAACCACATGGAGCCATGCTGATGGCAACCAGAACCCAGAGATGCATCCACCGCCATTGGATCCACAGTACTTTCCACCCACCAACCTGTGATTTTCTTGCATTCGGCATCATTGCATGTGCTGCATGAATCTGCAGAGGAATTCATGGGCTAATATCGAACTTCCGGACTTGATCTGGACTGGGCTGGGATGTTTTATTGATGCATAATTACTTCTTGATATAAATTTCTCTCTTACACATACATGAGTTCCAATAAAATTGTTTCTCTAGTCAACCCAGTCTAACACATTAGCTCCTTCTACCTTGTGGCCTGCTGGAGCTCTGCCCCACACTGAGAGAAGAGGAGGAAGAGAGAGGAGAGAAAGAAAGAGTAAGAAGAGGGAAAAAAAGAGGATGAAGAGGAGGAGGAGGAGGAGGAGGAGGCTAAGGAGGCATGTAATTTCATCAGGTTGAAAACAGATTGGCAGTGTGCTATTTTTCATCCACAAGAAAATGTGTGCTGTTTATTAACTGCACCGGTAGGTAGCCATCGAGCACTTTCACACAGCTGTGTGAGATGTGTGAGCTTGTAGAGACCAGTCTTGTTGACCTCCAGCCTGCCTCGCTTTCACTCCAGAAGGCCCCAGCTGTGCGGACAAACCAGGAATTGCTCAGCTAAGCCACCCTCCCCACAGCCTGCAGATCCCCACTCCCGAGCAGCCACACGATGCGAGGAGCTGCTTCATCTGTTGTCTACCAGCCAGGCCCCTCTGGGTGTGTGTGCGCACCACACCTGTGTGTTTGGTGTGCTTCACAGCTGTACCACACTAGATGCTATTGTCAATAAGCCCACTGCCATCAAGCCGATTCTACCTTACAGAGACCCTAGAGGACATTATAGAATTGTCCCTTTAGGGTTTCCAAGACTACAAATCTTTACAGAAGCAGTTCGCATGGTGGAATGAAAATGATGGCCTCTCGGTTAGCAGCCAAATGCGTAACCATTGTCTTAGGCTAGGCTCTCTAGAGAAGCAAAAAATCCGTGATATACATATATGTGTATATGTATATACACATATGTGTACATATATACATATGAGATATATATATGCACCTCCCTTGCGTGGTACCCCCTTCATATGTTAGGTGAGAGTTATTAGTAAAAATGAGATTAATAATGAAGCATATACATAAGCATAGAATGCGATCTAACTTCCAGCATAAAAAAAACACCTCGAGGAAGATACAAAGGAAGAAGTGTAAATATTTGGCTGGAAATTTGAGAGGAGGGGGTGGGGGTGGGACTAATCCTTACTGGAATTGGCATGTAGGCTACAAAACTGTCCAGACACGTTGAAGTTGCCGTTTAATTTAGATCCCTATCACAGAGCAATAATTAAGCTCATCACATCACTTGGCAATAGCAGTTCGAGCATAGGAGCCCCGGAAACCTGAGACTCTCTCCGTGGCTCCAGGGTCTAAAGAGTTAAGGGGGAAACCCAATCGGAATTGCCCTTCTGCTGGTAGGGAGGAGCAAACCTTTCCTACCTGGCTGTCATTTTATGCAAGGATCGTGGTACCATCCCCGACTAGAATGCACACACAGGCCTGCTAACCACAAGGTGAGCAGTTCAAAACCGCCAGCCGCTCTGTGCGAGAAGGCAAGGCTGTCCATCTCGTAA